TGATTATATGAAAATAGAACTATATAGAAAAAGGGGAAAAGACCCACCTTTATACTTCAAGACTCTAAAAAAGGTTTAGTACCTGAATCATTAGTGATACATGTTTCAGGTTCGGGAATCATCCTCTGAAACTCTTATCAGTTTAGTAAGTGTTTCAGAATACACCTATTCCTATTCCTGCCAAACACCATGATCTTATACATAGCCTTGTCGCATCTTTTATCTGTATTTGAATGTTGAAGGTTGTTTTAGTTGTTCTTTCCTAATTGTTGTCCAACCAAAACGAATACACAATCTCTACAAGAAATGTTTTTATAGATCATCACAGTGTCTTCAAAATCACACAACTTACTGCCTCCTTTTATTGCACTTACAACAAGCTGAATTGGATGGCCAAGGTGACAATTACCGACAACCAAGAAAAGTTGTACATGGACAATCCGCCATTAACTTGTCCAACAGCAGAAGGAGAGCTTCCATTTGACCCAGCAGCACCAGTCGAAGTGTTTGAGTCACCAGTACGTCTCGAACTCAAAACCATTGCTCACAAAAGTGGTTATTGAAGTTATAGAAGAAAATCAGTATAGACGGCTTGCGCAATGCTGATTTCTTTATCTTCCAAGTCATACACAATGTAAGCGCTTCTCAAAATATTGTCTCCAAACAAGTGGTATGCGGTTTCATTCTCGTCCTTTGTCTGACCACATTGTGGGTTGTGTGTTGATCAACGTAACAGTAACTGTTGGTTCAGACTTACCGGCACACGAAGGGTCAGCTCACCGAAACGGATGTCGAAAGTGGCATTCGATTTGGATAATTCACAATCGACTCTGAATGCAGTTTCTTTTTCATCAAATTCACCATTGAGCTTGTCTCCCAATTCGACAAATTCTTCAGGCAACAAGCGGGACAAAGGAGTACCGGAGTCAAGAAGAGCACGGGATGCATTTTCACTAACTGCTCTTGTTTCACCTTCATCAGTAACGGACAAACCTTGAATGTCAACAATCAAGTCGGCATACTTTCCTTTTGCGTTCTTGGAAACTGGCAATGTTTCCAACTTGCCTTCGTACTTGGCATGATCAATAGCACCAAACAAGACTGAACCAGTACTGGCATCTTTCTGGTCCAAGTACAATGAATACAACACTTTTTTAATAACACCATCGGTCTTCATCTTGTATGGCAAGTTTTCATAACTAGCCACAGACTCAATTTCAGGTAAACCAATACCCAAAACGCCGATATCGTTTGAAGTCAAATTAGCAATAGCGAAAGCGACATCCGAGACTGACACATTTCCAATCTTGACAGTATCGTAACCCCAAGTTCCAAATGCATAAGTTTGGTCTCCGTACATGGTCAAGAATGTGTCACTTAGTAACCTCACCTTACTAACTCTTCGTGGTCACAACTTACATGGTACCCCAGTACAAGTTTTGGAACCCGAGTCGTTGCTGTCTCCACCATCTGCAGCATCAGCAGAGCTAGAACTTGAAGTTGAGTTGTCACTTGAATCACCCAAAGGTGGACTCTCAGTAGGGTGAGGTGCACCACCAGAAAGGGACGACAAGGTGCTATTCAAACTGAGCAACAGGAGGGCAAAGTCACTGCTTCATTTACCCAAGAGAAACAATGTAACGACTTCACTTGTCATCACCCAAAGATCGGAACTTCCAGTATCTACATGCACTTCAACTTTGTCTCCATTAGATCCAATTGCCAATTCAGCAACGTAGATAATTTCTTGGTTCTTCAATGTCATTTCCACAGCACCATCTTGGTTGGCACGTTTAGCGTGTGCTCTAGAACCAGCAACAACAGAAGGCAAATTTTCACCTCTTTTGACATTGAAGTTGACTTTGAAACTTCCTGCTAATGTGTCAGTGGGCAAAGCTTGTGAGACTTGAAATAATGGAAATAAAGATGCGGCAGCAGCGAGTGAAATACTATGGGTCAACTTCATCTTGAGGATGTTGGGAGAAATAGAAGAGGAGAGAAGGTTAAGACGTTTCTCGAGATGTATTTAATATACGTACATATGTTAATGCCTTAATGGACTTTATCGTTGCTGTCACTTTGACGCTTGAAAACTTTTGCAGTAGTCTAATGCAAATCAGTTTTGTGAAGTTGGAGGGGAGGGGGGGGGTTTCGTTTATTTCTTTTTTTTTTTTTTTTTGTCCCTCTAAAAAAAAATTAGAATAGTTTTTGTTTCAGTTTGTGTCATATATATGCACAGAAATGGCACAAGCGTAAAAGAGCACCATTGCCATACACACATATAATTGTTTTTGCTTGTACGTTAGAACAATTTTATTTCTTGGCTAATAGGATGCTCACAGACTGTTTAGTAGTTGACGTTCTCTTCCATTGCTTTCTTTGCTTGCTTTTCACTAATCTTTGCATCAATTGTGATATATCGTATATCATATCATTGTTGCTTTGATAGTATATATGGCTAGAAACAAGTACAGTTTAGCAACGATGTGTTGCAAGATTGCTCGTGAGGAAGTAAACAAATGCTTTTCGGGAGCTTGTGTGGTGAGTTGGACAAACCAAAGCCACTCTCACGCAAAAAATACCTTACTTGCCCACGTTTACGAGAGAAAAAGAATGTAGGTCCGAGGCAGTTCCGACACTTGCTGTAAAGTTACGTCACTATTTCACTGTCCCTGCCACTTTCTTCTGCTTCATTTTGTGTACTTTGGAACTGCACCTCGGTTTTCAAGTGCTTGTTTCTTCATTGATTGTGGTTTTGGAAAGAAATGTAAGTTTCCCCCCCATGGTTGCTCTTGGGTCTACTCTGTGGACGTGAAAGGTTCAAGGTATGTTAGTGCTTACTCTCTATTCCACTGCGTTGGGAACAACACTTTTCCTAGTCAAGGAAAACATGAATATAAAGACTGAATTATTCCAATTGGTATTATTTTTTTCATATTATTTTTGAAATTAATCCGAAGCGGAGGTAAATATTATATCCGCACAGAATGTGTATTACACAAGTACAAACTCCGGATTCTTTTGTTTAAAACACAAAATACTCGGAGTTCAAACTGTTCTATAATGATATTCGAGAGAGTGCAATCTCCATGTATGACAATCTAGAATCAAATAATATAGCGGCAAAAGTCTCTTTTTTTTTTAAAGTTGGCAAGATACCGAATGTTTCCTTGTTTTAGTGAAAGTTTTGACCAAACAGGCGACCTCTTAAGCTTCATTCACGGAAATGTGATAAGTATCTACAACGATAGAGAAATGTATACAAGTTGTAGTAAAACCTACTAATGAATACGTCGTGCGACTCCACTCTCTAGTCAAAGAAGCAATCCAACAGTTGGAGAAAAAGAAACGATGTAATCCGAAAATAGGACAACATTAACCGAAAGTGGTATTTTTTTTTTTTCTTTTTTCTTTTTATTTTTTGACGTTACTAAGTGAATGAAATGGGCAAGAGGAAGCGATCATCATTGAAACAGAAAGCAACTGTAGTCAAAAGGAAAGAGCTTCATAGGCACTCCCGTTGCAACGAATCCAAACACTTACAAGTACTCTCTTGCACAGGAATCTCTCTTTGTGGGGACACCATCTACTATTCACGAACACAAACACGGAAGCTTTGTGGAGCAATGGAATGCGGAATGGAAATCACAGTCCCCAATGACTATTCTTTATCTGGCTCGCCTTCGATTTTCTGACTTGATGGTTCCAGCTCAGTGAGTGGAGTATAGAGAGAGATTACAATATTATGAATTCTGATTGAGAGGAAGTATCTCCCAGTGATTGACTCTTCTTTTACCTTTTCACTGAATTCGCTTGAAGACAATGAGTGGGCATCACATGAGTACTTAAAATCNCAAACTAAAAAGTGGAACTGAAAAGTGGAACTAAAAAGCGTCTTTAAATGTTTGCTCTGTACAAGTTTTCCTATTCTGTTTTGTCCTGCAACACATAATTGGCGAGGGAAATGTAGATATACAGGATTCATGTTTGCCCTTCTTGTCAAACTTTTTCCTGAGTTTCGAGTACTTTATTCAGTTCAGTACTACTATTACTCGCGTCATCAACACCATCATCAACACTATCCCCATCTTCATGAAATTCATAACGTAGCATAATGCACAAACAAATCAACTTCATTGCAAGCTCTACTAATTTTCCTGCTGTACTAATTTGAAGGTCATTTATGATGATGAAGTTGTAACTTAGTATGATTTTGAGGAAATCGTCATTCAAGTGGCGTAGATACTTGACCCATGCTGGGTCGTGGGGCAATAGACGAGTGCCAAGTATTACATTTTGATTTAAAAGTGGTTGGGCTTTAGGTGGGTGGGTGGTGGTACTTGAGGCGAGTGCAACTAGTAGATCAACGACAGATAGTCCGTATATGATGGCGACTTGGATTGCAATGGCGTACTTCAAATCAAGGGTAATCCATTGTGACCCGTCATTGATTATAACGTATAGGCAGGCAGCATTGACTGAAAAGAAAAGAAGCACTTCAAGTGCAATCTTCATTCCAGTACAAAAACTGCACCTGTTGTAGTTGTTTAGTTTGAAATACCTTAAAATAAATAGTAAACTGACAAATTGGCATATGTACAATTTGATTGTTGATTCCGTTGGTATATGGAATGATGTCAATGACTGTAGATAACTCTCATACACATCTTGTTGTATATTGCTCCACCCTGCTTCTTCTGAACTCATTTTGGACTGATGTGATATATAATATGACGAAGGAAAATGAGGGAAAGTTTTATGTAAAGTCAAGCACGTGTTTCTGATTGTGTAAGAAGATTAAGGTGTTGTAAAGGAATGTATTACTTCAATAGTTGGATCTTAGATGGTGGTAGTGGTGGTGTGTGAACGCATATATGATCTACCAGGCAAATGGTTTCCAAACAAGTTTGACAGAGGGGCTATAAATGTCATGACATTATGGATATCCACAGTGTATTTATATAAAACCCATACGTTAGTGAGTATAATTTTAGCAAAAACAAAAAAAAGAAATGAAAATAAAAAATAAAAAATAAAAAAAGAAATGAAAAAGAGTATGAAGTTGTTTCTGTGAACATGGTTGATGATGGGAACATTGTTTGTGTAAACTGTGTCTTGTGTGTGTCCTTTACATTGTATTGTGGTTGTTATTAATAGAAATGGCGTTGACACTAGAAAAAAAACCCACACGCTCTTATTGTCTGTTCCCACGTGTCAAAGAATTTACATGAGATGATAAGCAACAGTAAGATGTATGTATCAGCCACAAAGCAGAGCGCAGTCTTGTCTATACACTTCTTAGACAAACACAATATCCACTCCCACCCAAAGGTCGTCAGGATAAACGACCCGTGCTTAAGCCAGAAGTGTGGCTGTAATGATGGCCAATTTAATTGAGAGGGAAATTTTTTTTCCACCAGTAGAAGTAAAGTGAAGAAGTACGACACTGCTTTTTGTGGCTCATTTGTTACTACAGTTAGTCTAATTATAGAAATTCGTATTCTTTTTATTTTTTCTTTTTTTTTTTTCTTTTTTTTCTTTTGGCGTATAGGAGAAGAATTATATATAACTTTTGAAAGAGAGGAAGTTAACTACATAGTCCTCAACGTCATCAAAGTTGCAAAAGTCTTTGTACTATTCCAGATACGGAGTTGAGTCACTGGATTCAACTAGAATCTCTTTTGTTCTGTTCTATTCTGTTCCCCTATTATGGTTTGTGTAGTTTCTCTTTTTCTCTTTTGTTTCTAAATTTAGCGATGGGATTATACGAGAGAGAGAGAGACAGGGCCAAGAAAAAAGCCGCACACATAACAGTTTACACTACCCTGTGACTCTTTGCCGTATGTTGCACATTTGAGAGATTAGAACAGCAAATCATATCACTCTACCCAGATTTATCCAGAGTATCCGTCCATTGACTTCTTTAGAAAAGAATGAGCATGTTATAGATCATACCCCAATATAGTCTTGCCACTCACAAATTGTACGATCTAAGCCCCCCCTCATTCCCCCCCCCCTCCATTAGTTATGTGGCCATTAATGCATAATTTAAAAGATGACAAAGACAAAGGCATATTGATCTATATTTAGCATACCCATTGTACTTCAATGAGGTAATTTTCGCATTGCCAAAAGGTATAGACACGTTTGGTGAATATGGATAGATCTTTCTGTCCCTCCTTCTCCGTCTACCTTTGATGAAAACTATAAATAGGTATGTGGCTATGCACAAGCGTACATATATTATCAGCCACCACTGTTGTGGAGAATACAAGCAGCAACGAGATGAACAAGCAGTGCCTCCCCTATTGTTAAAAAAACTTGGACTAGAGCGGGTGCATGGTGTACCTTGTGGTGCAACGGTACCCCCTTTCCCTATCCATTCTAGTGCAAAACTCTTTGTGCAAACACTACAGCCTCCCCTCCCTTTCCTCCTCTTCCTCCTCTTCATCTTACCGCCTGCTTTTACATTCAAGTTCTATATATAGCATACACATATCTTGTCCTTTGCGTAGTGAAACAGAACCTGAACTAAAGTGACAAAAGTTAAAAATAACACATCAAGAGAAGAAAGATAGATGTCTTTCTTTGTGAGTCGGTATGACAAAGAACTGTACTCGTGTGAGTGTGAATGATTTGTAAAGGGGTGTGTTTGTTTGTACACAGAGACAGTACTCGTGTGAGTCTTGCAAATGGAAAACAAGAGACTTTGTTTCTATCTGTCGTACGTTGTTTTGTGTCAATATAGTCTGCTTTTCTTCAACTGTTGCCAAGAATATCGACCATATGTGGAACCTCAAAAACAGTATAGAATATCCTCTCTCTCTCTCTCTTCTGCAAGCAAAATTAGAGAATTGTTTGTGATGACAACATGACTTCTCAGAGAGGTGTTTGTCTTTGCTCGGGAATTGTAGTGATCGTATCCAAAAGAAGATGGGAAATTATACCAAAGTTTCCACCACCACCATCACCACCACTCGTTCACAGAACTTGAGGTTGAATAGCATTACGTCTTTTGCTTTCTTGATCTACAAAACTTGCAACATCACATAAACGCAATATGCGTATACATAATTTGCTTCCGCTTAGAGAATATACTATATCAAATTAGACGCAAAATAGTAAACCCTTTCACTTCTGACACAGAGATTATATTGGAGAAAACAAGAGATCTTCAAAAACAAAAATGGCCAAGGTTTCTACGTTCACCGGTGAAGCATGCTTGAGAATGAGTGAGACGAAGCGAGTACACAGAAAATGAAAGGAAACAATGCACATCCGCCTTTGGCATTTTAGTCACTCTCTGGTTATATTTTTTTTTTTTCTTCGGTTTCACTCTTGACGATCTGCAATTTTGTTTGTGTGTGTGGGGTGAGATGCATAACAAAGTTTTTCTTCAATTCAACCACTTGGTTTATTATCGTCTCAGCTATAAAGATTTTGTGTCAGAAATCCCTAACTTCACCTGTTAAAAGTGCGTACAGATAACTTTACTGTGCAATTATGTTGGGAATAGAATAGTTGTAAAAAAGTTTAGCTTAAGAGTCGTCGTAAATGCGGACCACTATCAATTCATGCGCTTACTGTGAGAGTAAACTTTCTTTTTTTTTTCTTCTTTTCTTTATATTGGTTCCTGTTTCGCTTAGTTTAACTCAACAGTGGAGGGAGAGGATCTGTTTAACGACTGTTCAGCAAGACTGGTGTAGTATAGTAGCCTAAAAGGCCACAATTCTGGGTGAGGCGTACGATGGTAACGAAGATGGAGATGAAGATGTCGTGTGACATTTATACAAAAAGAGGGAGCAAAGTAAGTTTGAGGGCTTTTTGTATTACTATTGTAGATCGTTGATGTATAATTGCTTAAAAATAAATCAGTGGATACTGCTGTTTTAGGCAGTACACCACACTACTAGTTAGTAATAGCTATTGGTGTAGTAGTAGTAATGCCTTATAACTTCAATATATTTTAAGAAATAGTGCATATATATGTGTATGAGTATTATAAGTATTGCTTGTGTCAGTTAACTTACTCAAAGTGAGCACGTGGTGTAATATTAAATTTATTTTTATTTTATTTCTCTGCTATTGTTTTAGTTTTATTTACACTTTTTTGTTTTACAAAGATTTTTTAGTTTCATCAACAACATCAACAACTTCAGGGTTCTCAACTATATAGACTGTAGGTATGTACATGTATGAAGTTACTAAGTATACATGCGTACACAACTATAATATACTTATACATGGACTGTTCCATACACTAAAGATCAAGAGTAGTAGCGACTTACACCTAGTTTTACAAGAACGTGTTTTTGGTATTCGTAAAACATCTTGTATTGAAATTGGTTATGAGTCTAAGAATATTATTAGTTATTAGTTGAGGAGTATCACTACTGTTATAATAATAATAGTATGACATGTATGTTTTAGTTTGTGCAGGCGCACGTGCACTTTGTGTAAAAAGTATCAGAACAAGAGACCAAAGAGAGAAAAGCCCACGTTGCCCTCTTTTTCCTCGCTATTCTTCTTCTTGTGTAATATTATTAAGTATAACAGGGATTTACATTGAATGGTTGATATATATAACTGTACACACGATATGTATATATATATATATATATCATATATAAACCCCCTACTAGAAAAGAATCTTGTAAAATATCAACAGCAACAACTTACTTATAAAGCCATCTTTTCTTCGGTTTACCACTTGCGTCCACTTTTTAGTCAACACTTTAGTCAATTTGACCATAATGGCAGTCACTACCACTACTACTATTAATGTTACTCCCCTTCATCGCAAGTTCATCAATATACTAAACAAGTACTTGTGCAATGGCTTACACAACCCCATAGTATCTTCTGCAATCATCATCACATTTGTTGCAGTACATCTACTACGCTCCACATTGTTGATGTCCCCTATAATAGCCCAATCATCATCCACTACTTCTTCTTCTGCATTAGCGCTGGTGGACTGGGAGAGGGAAGAGTACCCTGTAAATGGTTCTATAAACGGTGAGCCAGTTTCATACACCCGTGACGAAACAACAGCAGCAACAGCAGCGGCTATGACTGCTGTTTTTGATGACTATTTCTGTGATTTCCTTTCTAATTTCGTCAATCTTGTATTTATCTACCGTTTTGTCATGATGAACTATAACAACAGCATCAGCATCAGCAACAGAAACAGAAACAAACTGCGTCAGCAACAAGCCACTACAGGACTGTCAATCTTCCAAGAATTGTCCATTTTCATAATGCAATTGGCAGCTGCTACTTGTTTTATGTACTTTTACTTCAATCAGTTTCCCCGTTTGTTGCAAGTTCTTGCTTCACTTCAGTTGGTTTTACCGTTTGTCATTTTATTCATTTCTTCAAGTACCTCATCATCCAAAAACAAGTCAGTTTACAAACTTTTAAAAGAGTGCAATAATAACATTTTGCCTTTTTTCATCACCAATTCGTTTCTTTTTATTAACGTGCCATTTATTGCGTCTTCAAATGCTAATACTGCAACCGCTACTACTGCTGCTACTACTGCTACCTCTGTTTCTGTTTCAACTGTTTTTGGTTACTTCACTTCAGATGATACCCTCAGTTGGTTCTATTTACTTGCAGTTTATTCGCAAAAATTATACCTTATTTACCAGTATGTCATTTATGAGTTGATTAGCGTTTACGAAGAGAAAGAGGAAGAAGAAGAAGAAGAAGAAGAACAGGATTCAAAGGTGGATTTGGAAAAGGGTCCACCAATAAGAAACAAGAGTGTACCTACATCACTGCCATTACAACGCACAGATTGTGGAAGCAGACTAATGATGTCAGTATGCTACATGGTTATGATAGTGGATTTAGTATTTATGTGTCTGTACTAATTCTCTCTCAATACACCTTTACTTCTTTATGGAATATCACCTATGAATCTACGTGCAGTTTTCTTGGTGTGCTTATGAGGTTGCGAACCGAGTTGAAACGCCTCATTTTGCAAAGTAGCAGGCATAGAGAAATGTTGGATGACAGGTTTGTATAGTATGTTTATTCCAAGCAAACAAAAGAGAGTGTGTCAAATATTATTGTTTGCAAATACCCAGCGGTCCTAGCAAAAGGATATAATGGCAACAAATGCACACCACATCCCACCACAAAATCGAGCAGAGTCTACAAGTAGGGCCAATATCAACACGCAAAAATCCGTTCTTTTAATTTAGTCAAACTACACACCAACCAAAAGCCGTGAAACCAACGTTCTGCATCGGTTCTCTTCTTTCTTTATTGCGTCACTTACAATTGACCAGAGTTGTCAATGGTGATCTTTTTAGAAGTGGCACCACTTCCAGATCCAAAAGACTCAATCTTCTTAACAACATCGAACCCATCAGTAACCTCACCAAACACAACGTGCTTACCATCCAACCAAGGAGTAGGCACAGTAGTAACGAAAAACTGCGATCCGTTAGTGTTTGGGCCAGCATTGGCCATCGACAACAAACCTGGTCTGTCGTGCTTCTTGGCAAAGTTCTCATCAGCAAACTTGGTTCCATAGATAGACTTACCTCCAGTTCCGTTGAAGTTGGTGAAATCACCACCTTGCAACATAAATTGAGGAATGACTCTGTGGAAAATGGATCCTTTGTAGCCGTAGCCCTTTTCGCCAGTGGCTAATGCTCTAAAGTTTTCAGCGGTCTTGGGAACAACATCGTCGTATAATTTAAAGGTGATTTTGCCCAATGGTTGGCCGTCGGCGGAAACATCAAAGAATACGTTGGTCATTGTGATAATTTGCTTTCTGTTTATTTCTGAATCAATTGCAATTGAGTGAATTGAGTTTGTCGGTGGGAAAACGAAAAGAACAGAAAAACCCAATTGATGGGAAATATGATGGCGTATCCAAACGAATTTCGGCGCTTTACAGCAAAGGAATTGAGAGTGAGATGGAATTTGTGTGAAGAGAAGGGGAGAGTGTGAGGTTATATGTCGGACAAAATTTTTTTTCAGACACAAAACTTTCCCACACTCGACATCCACAATTTGAAGGGTTTTGCTTCGTTCTGTTCGAATTGTAGGAGATCACATGACAGACCCGTCATACTCATCAAATGCATTGGCTTCTAAGCTTTTGAACAAAGTTGGTTTGGGGGGGGGGAGAAAAAGTAGGAAAAGGGTTCAAAAGACGTGGTCAATTACAGGAGTCGACATTGAAGATTAATTGTCTGTCTGTCTGTCTGCCTGTCTCTACGTGTGCGTGTATGTGTGTCCAACAGAATTTGGTCAACACAATTCTTTTTCTCTACAATAATTGTATGCAGTACATTTTACTCACACCGACAATTACGTAATTATGAGAAGAACCCTACGCAAGCTCGTTTGACCAGACAGACATTTTGTTTAAATAACTATATACACTACAAAGACTAATTATGGAAGAAACGTGGGAAACACACTCTTGTACAACGTTGTTGAAGCCTTTTGGGTTGGTCTCTCTTTGACGGTGGAGATGCTTATTCAAGCAGCTGATTGTCGTAAGGACTCGAGGGTGTCACCTCTGAAGCAGCAGTCTGTTGAGATAGAGAGTTGGTTGAAGACATAATGAAAAACTAATCTTTTATTAGTTATTCCAATATAATTTGAAGAATTAAGTGGAGAAATAGAATCCCTATTTATATTTTTCTTAAATAAACCTTGCACAGTAGGATGAAACCGATGTAGCCTTATCAACAGAGTTGTTGCAGCAACACATCCCCACATTCCTAAGAGAAACTTGAACACGCACGTGACTTTTCTACCACACGAACACCACAACAACTTTGTATTAGATTCCTTGAATTACCATCCTTCAACAAAATCAGCCTTTGTCAAGCTACTGCGAAATCGCATCTGCCTCCAGAGTGTATCCACAAGTATGCAAATCTTCTGTATGCATTGTTTCTTCTACACTCTCCTACTCACAATTTCGCCAAAACAGTCTCATACCCAGACTTGTCCACCTTTCTCTCAGTTTCAACACCAAGGTACTCGACATTCCTCGTCTTAGCATCCACAACAACAGCATACCTCTTGTTCCTCCAAAACCCACCCGCATCCATAGCCAAGCCATTCTCACGACTAAAACCGCCAACATCATTAGCAAATATGACTTTCGGCATCACACCTTTGGCATTATCTTCAACATTGTAAAACTGTTTAACCAACACTTTTCCCCAGCTATTAACCACGAATGGATCGTTTGAAGCAAGGACAATAACACATCCGATCCCTTTGGCCCCCAATGATGCAAGGTTTTGCAAGTATGGAGGTACGTGGACTTCTCCGCACGTGGGTGTCCATGCCCCAGGCACTGACACGATGAGAATCTTGTGTTGTGGTGTGGTGGATAAGTAGCCAATTACTTCATCGAGCTTTAGTGGTAGTGGTTGTTGACAAACAAGGGGGTCAATGAGTCTGGTGTCGTCAGTGTTTATTGGTATGTATGCGAATTTCACGCCTTCTGGAAATGGAGAGCCTTGTGCAAGTGTCATTGCAAAAAAAAAAAATACGCTTTGAGTTGGGGGTGGTGAAAGAATGAGGCACTTATGTAGTCTGAATGGATTTTGCTGGTTATCAATGTTCAATTTCTCGGATAAATCCGCACATACTGTTTATGGTAATTCAAGGAATCCTTTAAAGTTTCTTGTAACACACGACCTCGTCAAGAAAATGTTATTCGCAACCTAAATTAGGTTTGCAATTAGTTTCATATAATCCTTGCACTGGTGAACTTCAGAGAAGAGTTCTGTTACCAGCAGGGCCACACGGGTTTCATCTTTTGTGCGCAGTCTCATCAACACTATAAATTAGGAATTGAATTTCCCAATTTTAATTTGTTCTCAAGTTCATAATCTTTTCTGATTTTTTCTGATCTTCAAGGAATATATATTATTCTTAAGGTGTCTATATGCTATGTATATATATACAATATGTCTTTTGCTATACTTTCTGATCCTGAATCTGTTGCTACCCCTTCTCCAGAACCAGTCCCAACTGACATTACTGCATCACCAGTTCTGTCCTTACGACAGTTGAATATGATTTTTATGAACGTAACACAGCGGGAGCCAGAGATTCATTGACGAATTAAGTCAACGGGCCAAAGTCCCACAGTACCAAATATCGATGTAGCAGTAGCTTCAATTGCAACTATGTGGCAAGCAACACCACAAGAGGGTGTAAAATCCGCTTGCATCTGTCTCTCAATTGGGAACATGCTATAATTGTATTCGTGTTTGTAGCTCGCTGCACCAGCGGAAGCTTCAGTGAATTGAAAGTCTAGCCCTCGTCACGACGCTCATCAGTCTAGGCTTCCGTATTGCTCTGGATGGCCGATTCGCAAAAGTTACTCTCTACGAGAAATGCCTCACGAAAAACCCATCAAAGACTCCCTCTATACTAGCCTTATCATCGTCGAAATTTTCCAATGTACCATCACTTAGTACCGGCAGTTGCTCCTTCTCAAAATCGGTCTCGTTAGCGGTTCTCGCTGCTCTTGTCTCCTCTTCTACACCCTTATACCGAGCAAAGTCCCGTGAGTACATCTTCAACGCATCGGCCAGATCAGCATGATCGCCAATTTGGTCATCACTTCTCTCGTCACTGGCATCCACATCGACAACACTGCCCATGACTCCTCCAGCCATTTCTTTCTCCTCTTGGCTACATTCCCTTTCCCATCGCTTCAACCTTTTGAGGTCACCAGCTGAAACATCAGTCTCGTGATCAAGTAACATCATCAACAATGCATGCTCATACATTCTCAGTTCCAATAAATCATGCTCATCAATGGTCTTGGTTTCCAACTCAAACAAATTGGACTCAAATTCTTCATCTATTGTGTCCTCATCAGTCGTTAGGTCACGATCATACTGGTTCAAGTTATGGATCGTACGAATTGTGGGCTTTTGAGGCGCAGGAACCAAATTGGCAAACGCTGGAACAGAAACAATGTCTCTGAGGTTATTGAACCAACGGTGCTGTCCGTACTTCTCTGTGTAAACTTTCTTCACATATGGGTTGTTGCAGTTGAATATTGCGTTTAAATTTGGGTACCCCAAGCGAGTTAAGGCCGACTTGACATTTTTAGGAAGGATCGTAATGCAACACCTCTTAGATTCATCCTCCAAGTCATTGTTGTTACTCTTTGTTGTCTTCGCGTTGATTATGTTTACCAATATATTAGTTGTCACTTGTTTCACTAGATCTTCCATAATATGGCAAGTATCATCAGCGCACGTCCTGCCAAACATTGTCCGCATGTGATTTCTATTAAGTAACCGACAAGCATCCGTGTCGACATGAGCTGAGCCTAGCTGAACCTTTTCATCAGCATCAATCAACAAGCTTTGTTCGTCTTCAAGTTTGGTGAAATACTTCAGCATCTCATAGGCAGCAGGGATCTCTTCATACTGCACTAGCCGGTAATCCCACTTCTTCAAACCAGGCTTACCGCTACGACGAGCTCCGTTTTTTAACTTGCTCAACTCCCGTTTCAACAAATTGTAATAGGTCATAATTTCCAACTCAGACTTGCCCATGTGTAGGCTGATCATATCCAATTGATGTATCGAGTACCTCGCAAGTAAAGTGAAGAACAATTCCTTCTGCTCTCCCGTCCAAAACTGACCAGGGTACTTAGCATCATTAGGGTATGTTCCGTCGTAAGAGACTTTCAGTGCCGATAATGGTAATTCTGGTATGGACTTCGTTGGGTCCAAGGTTTCACCAACAACTCGATTATAAAATTTGATGTAGTTTTCATTTGGAAGTCGGAATGGTTGATCCTTTGTTAGCACTAGGTGGTCTTCACACACTGTGTTATCTTTGGAATCGATTCCACTAGTTTCCCCAACATTTTCAAACCAACAACCATAATTGGTTCCCAAGAGTTTCTCACACTCTGCCTTTAATTTGCCGAGTCTTTCGTTCAAAGCAGTTAAATCATGGCAACCTCTTGGATTGCGCACCTTAGGTTCAATGCTCTGAATCTCCCTTTTCATAACTTTAATGTCTCTATTGACAATTTCTTGATGCACTGGGCTAAATACTGGCAAAAGCAGTAGTTGCGTGGCATCCCCAAGTCCCCCGCTTTCGTATTCCTCAATGAGTCTTTCTTGCTCCTCTTGCTTCAAAGTGTATAATTCTTCCCATAGTTGAGGCATGTCCAGTCGGTATTTGGTTCTCGAATTTGAAAATACTCTTTCAAGCACTGCAATCCTTCTCTGTCGGTCTGTAACCTCTTTTGCGTAATTTTTGCTGAGCCTCTTTTGAACCTTTTCAACAAACTTCGCTTCCTTCCTGGCCATTTTGAGTTGACGTTGCTCTTCCCGTTCAGCTACCCTTTTATGTTTCTTTTCCCGCATTAAAATGTTCTGCAGTTGCGCACCATTGTCATCGTCTTCTTCTAAGACCACCATTTCGCCGGTTGCCGATTGGTGTTCAGAATTTGGTTCATCCTTGCTGTTACACCTGAGCTTTCTTCGCAGTCTTTCTTTAAACTTTTCTAAAGAGATGCGTTCTTGTGGTAACTTGTTTAATTCTGACTTCCAGTCCGCCAACTCCTTATTAACAGCATCACGATCAAGTCGATTTAAAAGCCGACCATTTTCTAAATACCTCTCAAGTTTCACTATCCGCTTCTTCAATTTATCTTCCAACTCTTCCTGTAGCTTTTCTTGTCGCTTGGCTTCGAGTCTTGCTTGTGTTTGAGCTCTCTTGTTGGGTTCGATTTGCCTATTCTTTAATCTCTTGTGTTCACTGTGCTGCACTTCCTTTTCTTTCTCAGGTCGTAAACGCATCTTCCTTTTACGCTTCTTATTCTCCGTAAGTTCCATTTCTTTCAATTCTGTTTTTGACAAGCGACGTCTTTTGGTATTGGTATTGGTATTGGTATTGGTATTGGTTGTGGTTGTGGTTGTGGTTTGAAGTTGCGGGGTTGTCGAAGGAGGGACGGACTGAGCAATAGCCAAATTCCCCAATGCGTCATCAGAACCAAGTGTTTCATCAAAGGCACTGCCTGTTAATGGGGGATTTCTGGTCGTTGATTGTGTGTCAGGTCGAGTGGAAGCTCTATTCCTCGTAGCGGGCCGCCGCGATGCTTTATTAGAGTCAAGAAATGCGTCTAAGTAGCTGCCGGATACTATGCTCTTATCTGCCAGGTTGGCTTCATTGATACTTGATCTGTGACTTGTTTGTTGCTTTTGCTGCGATTGTACTTCTTCCGTCCCGCATACCTCAAAACAATTTGCTAACTCGGGTAGTTTATTCTTTGGTTGAGAACAAGCACCATCATGAGTCTCATCCGAGGAACCAACACGATGTTTACCGTTCAGTTGTATTCTCCGTTCCTGTGAACCTCCTGTACCTGCTTGGTCACCGATATCTCGTTGTGATCGATCTGATGTTGTCTGAATCGATTGTTTGGACTGCACATTTTCGTTTCCACTCTTCTGTGTGCTCCTTGTTGTTGACGAGTTGGTGATACCGTTTTCACTGTGAGTCGGGAGCAAAGGATGGGTAGTTGTCATATGCACATTTGATTCAATTGTGACTTTGGAGTTAGAATGATGAACTTTTTATTTTCTTTTCAGTGGAAAAGCTGTGAGATTGTGATGATGCTCATCATTTTTGTCACACACGCGACACTAAATCAAAGTATGGTCATAATACTACTTACACTATACATCTTTAACCCGCATTATCCTTGCTTCTATACCTTGCCGACATGTCATATCTTCATTTTATCAATAGATTTATCCAATGCATCCACAAAAAGCTCTTTGTCATTCAAGTCCTCGATTGTATCTATATTCAGTTTGGAAGACTCGTAATCGGTGTCGACCCAATCATCATCTGACTTCTGAACATCTCCAGTAGGCTCATCGTTTCTTAATATTTCAGGCAAGAACGGCTTCGCCACGTCTTCTTCAACTTCTCTCCTCTGCGCCTCGTCCTCCGCGTCCGCATCCGTGTCTGGGTCCCCTCTACGTAGTAGTCCAATCAATTCGACATATTCTTCCGGCACAAGCCCATTTTCTCCCGTTTCAGGATCTTCAGCAACTAGCCACCCCTGTCCATGCCTATAGCTGATCCATATCACTTGCCCTTCCAGTAAACCGATTTCATTGTCATTCTCTGGCTGGAAATCAAAAATAGCACGAGCTTCGCAGTTTATTTCGTCCTTCTCGTAATAGTCGTCATCGTCGTAGTCATCCTCCAAGTCTGCATAGTCATCATATGTGTCATGGCCCTCGTTGTCGTATTCGTATTCGTATTCGTATTCGTATCCTTCATGCTTATCATGTCTTAGGCTTTCATGATGTCGCGATCGATGGTACGAGCCGTCCGAGGAGGATATCGTGGATGTATTATCGGAAAACCTTTGAACTTCTTCATCAGATTCGTCATCATCTTCAATAAGTAGTTGCAGACTCCGCGAATGATTTAGGGAGACTACATAATGTAGTGGATGTGATTCAGGATACCCAAAATCTTTTATCTTGGTATTTGGTGGAAATCGAGGACCCATTGGTTTAATGCCACGTCTTTATTTGATATTGTACAGTTGATTTCTTGATGCTGTAGGGTTGGTCCGTGAATAAAAGAAATGCTTCTCTCAAAGACCTTTCGCAATTCGTCCTAATTATCTCCTTGTTGATGACTAGTCTAAAAATAGTAAATCGAAAAATAATAAAAAAATAAATTCAAAAAAAGTTCAGACAGGCGAAACTCACACAATCAAAGCTCCTCTCTCTCTCTCTATCCTTGAACAGCAAAATATGGATGGGGTGGAGTTGTTATTCAGCTATAGTAAAAGCTCGAAAATTGCGTCTTATGTTGTTTACCTCCTTGGTACGTTGATGATATTCGAAACCTTTTTTTCTTTTTTTTCTCTGAAATCATAAACTGAAACACCAAACAATTTTTTTTTTTCCTCTCTATGTCTAAGAGTGTTGGTGATCTAATAGATTGCGTCACACATTAACACACATTAACACACTCACTTACTCACACTCATTCAAACTCACTCACAAACCCAGAAAAAAAAGCCTGTAGGAGATGAGAGGAAGGGTGTACTACAGATGCTTAGAAAGAGAAGATTGAGAAGCGAGGATAAGGGCCTAGTTTTGTAGATAGGTTTGTTGTGAACTTTCGAGTGTGTGGCTGTAAGCGGGTGGATTGTGTAGGGCTTATCGTGAGAGTCGCACGACCGTTGTTGCCAGCTTTTGTTTTCTAAGGGATTTTTGACGCGTCTTTTTAATTCCTATCAGAGGAGTCTGTCCCATGAAGAATCAAGCAGTTACCCGTCACGGACTGTATCCTGAGCCCCCTAGTTCTTTAGTGGTCAACCAATTGCAGGTGGTGTGATGGCATGTCCATTTGAAGATCTGTGACCAACAAGGTGAGTGTGCATGTATTGTTGGTTTCTACGAGTGATAGGGCACTGCGATTTTTTGACAGCAATTATATTCACTGGTTTGAATGCTTTGAAAGGGCGTGTTCATGTCGCTCGTGGTAGGAATCTATACATGATGCGCTTTATTGAGAATCCTGTTCCAAAATTCACTTGGTAGCTTTGACTCTTGCTTCGAGAGAAAAAAAAAAATTGGTCTTCAATGCTAAGCATCGCTTTGGTAAAGCTCTTTCACGTCTATTTCGACTTCGTGTGCACTATGGACTTCAAAGAAGAACAAACCCAGGAGATTGAAATATTACAGTCAATATATCCCGATGAACTTACGTTTTTGAATGACTCACAGACCCAATTTCAAATACGAGTCAATTTAGATACAGAAAGCGAACGCAAACATGCGCTAAACTTGGTGGTCAAATATCCAGCCACGTATCCCGAAGTGATACCCGAGCTACATATCGAAGTCGCTGAAGATGAAGAAGATGGCGAATACGACAATGAAGGAGGCAGCAACGACTATGATGATGACGATGATGAAGATGAAGATGAAGAGGCGAAACAAACTAGACTTGCGTTGAATATGGCAGAGACTATAGAATACGAAAGAAGCGATTTATCCAAGCTATTATCAAAACTAAACGAGGAAGCCGAGATTGGAATCGGTATGCCATCAGTGTTCACGTTGGTCACTGTCCTCAAAGACGAAGCTGAATCATTGTTTAATGAAAAATTGGCCATCAAGAACAAGGAGTTTGAACGTAGACGCAATGAATTGGAAAGAATTGAACAACAAAAGTTCCAAGGCACCAAAGTCACTCGTGAATCGTATAACGAATGGAGATTGAAGTTTAGACAAGAGATGAAGTTTGAAGAAAAAGATAGATTGAAGATGCAACAAATGCACGGGGGAAGATTGACTGGGAAACAAATTTTTGAGCGTGGATTGGCTGGCACTGAAGATGAAGACGAGGGTAATGGTGGCGTTGAAGGGGACGAATTGGCAGAAGGAGTCAAGGGTTTATCTGTTTAGGGAAGAACAAGCAGAAGGGGGTGAATCATTGTGAATTTGCACGAATTGAGACAACTTTATGACAATGAGGGCTTCATTATTTGGTCAATCTGCTAACTCTAGACCTTAGTTTCCACTGAGAGTGCTTTACTACCAGCATTACTACCCACATATCGGTTGTTCATTTGGAACGTACAAGTTTATAGATTTTACTAAAGGTAACAAAGGTAATGAGCATAATGAACTGTCACAATCTACAAAGTGACATTTGTTTTCCATAATCAAAAGAAGGAGTAGCTCAAAAAATGTAATCACATCTCGCACCACCACCGACTGCAAATGAAGTGCAATACAGTTTTGTCGGTTACGGAACCTGAGGACAACGCATTTAGTATTCAAGAAAAAAAAAAAGGAAAATAGAGAAAAAGCATCTCCTTGATCGCTTAACCCAATTTTGGGGGTTAAATGTATGACCTGATATCCTCTGTGCAAAAAAAATCATGTAAACTCCTCATATCTCGGCGTTAAAATCTTCATTGTTTCTCTATTTTTTTTTTTTTCTTACACGTAACTCCAAAAGTCCCCATTTTATTCGGACCGTTGCCAAGAAATATCTTTCTTTTGAGTCATTTAAGAAAATCATTCAATCTGTTACACACTCGTATCCATTTTTTTATTTTTATTCAAAAGCTGAAAAAGGAGGAGGTCTTACTATTCTTTCTTTATGTGGGGTAAGATACTTTTATGACCGATCGGCGTAATCCCACCCTGAATTATCCCCCCAAAGGAAAAAGAGGACAGAAAGGGGTAATACCGCATGCAGTTAATTAGTCATGTATAGTGTACTCAATGTTCTCAGCTGAGTGTCTGGGGATGGAGGCGATCCCGTTGAGGAGCCTTTGCATGTCACACATGTGTGATTCTGTAGGGTTGCAAAGACTTCTTAAAGAATAACACGGATTTTACGGGTTTGACGGATTTAAGATGGCGAAATGTGAAAAATAAAATGCGAGCGGATTTGTTATTGGAGTTGCAAAATCACGTGCGTCAAGTGATGCAACTTGGGATCACAAAGTAAGTGGTGCAAATACATCATCTGTTTGCCAATGGAAGTTGGTTTTGATTCCTATAATCTCTACCTCTGCTTCCACCTGTCAAATCACTGACTTGGGTAGGGGGGGGGGCGCAGTTCAGGTACAAACTATAGAATACTACGGACTTCGGAGTTGAGATAATCTAATTCAAAAATAAGGTGTTGCATATCAGAAAAAATAATAACAATAAATCACACTAAATGTAAAATATAAACAAAAAAATAATATACATCTACACGTAAGAAGCAGTGCGCAAACACGTCATAGCATAGCCAATGCATTGTCAACTCCACATTGTTTTATAGCAATACTCCTTACATCATTGATATTACTCAATTTTTTTTGCATTGACGTAAAACACTGTGATTGAATGACACAAAGATATTTGGAAACTACTGTTTAATTGTACTAAAGTTGTACGTGATATATTGGTGTTAAAAAGTAAAATCTATAAATAAAGCAAACAACATAGTAGAATATATATATATACTGAAGAATTGAAAGGGGAATCACATCAAGACATAAAAAATAAAAAAGTTGAGACCAACCAAGCAGTAAACCGTGGCAAGTAGGATAGCGTCAATAGCAGTAATAAACAATTTCGTGTGACATCACAAATCGTCATCATCATCATCATCATCATCATCATCAACAACATTATGATATTCGTAATCGTAACCATTGAATCGTAAACATAAAAATATAAAATCTCATCTGAGACCCATTTGATGAAGTCATACCCCCAAAACACAAAAAGAAACAAGCATTGTTCATCGTTATGACGTTTCATCGTTGTCTTTGTTCAACTTATAATCAACACTCTCTATCAGATTCTATCAGTAAATGTGTAAAAAAGCCCCCAAAAAACAAAAAGACAGCTTCTTTGAGTAGTGAGTGTAGTGATTGTGGTGGTGAGTGCTTTAGTATATTTGCTCCAATGATAAATTCTCATGCCTGAATAAACTTATGGGAGTACAAGTGGGTTTACCATTAGGTAAAGCAGTGGTGGTAGTAATCTTTGTTGCACTAGGAAGCTTATGATGTAAATTATCGTCGTGAAGGTGGTAACTGGGTTTGCAATTGTGCTTGTGATTTTGGCTGTGTTCTTGGTGGTGGTGGCGACCATGATGCAACTCGGCATGCGTGTACAAATACTCTTCATCCTCATCATCTGTCAACGATGTTGTATTGCACAATTCTGGCATGTCGTGATGGACTGGATCAATCTGTTTGTCCTCCGGTTGAGCTGAATCGCAAATAATCGTTCCTTCATCATCAGAATCTTCCACATCCGTAGCAACCTCCTCCTCTTCCTCCTCTTCCTCTTCTTCAAAAATTGTGGGAGTAGCAGATGATAAATTCATAAATGGTAATGACTTATAACTGGGTCTGGTTGGCAAAGCTGGTGTGTCAGAGTGTGCAATTGAGGTTGTGGTTGTGGTTGTGGTTGTGGTTGTGGTGGTCATGATGGATGCAGTTCTGGGGATCTTGGCTTCAACAGCCACATCCTCTTCAACTTCCTCGGAATCGGAATAGATGTAGTAGTCATCAGAGTCATAATCTGATGATCCTGAGGAAGAAGACGACGACGATGATGACGAATAAACCATTGTGTCATTTTCAATATCTTCATCTTGTTCTGAATCCGAGTCAGAGTCAGAGTCAGAGTCATTGACTTCTTGAGTTGTGATGTGGGGAGTCATGGCTGCATGTTCATAAATGGCACCATTCAACTGGTTGATCTCGTTACTGACATTACCATCCTTCTGCTGTTCTTCTTCTTCTTCTTGTACATCATAGTCATCATACAACTCCTCTTCTTCCTCATCCTCTTCATAGTCAGAGTCTGAATCTGAATCTGAATCTGAATCTGAATCAAGCTCATACTCAGTGACAGAAGTCTTGTAAAGGGAACTGGTAGTAGTACCTACTTCACTATCCGCATCATTGCCAGACTTGTGTGCAACTTCAGAAGGAATATCAAATTGAACGTGTCTATCAACACCATGTTCTTGCTCTTGTTGATTATAATGGTTTCTGCGTTCAGTTTCCTCAGTAATGTAATCCATCAAATTGTCCAACATATTTGCCTGGACAACCAAGTTACGCAAGGACGATTTTGGTGATGCTGCTTCCTTGGTCAACTTCAGTCTCACTTTGCTGGCAAGGATATAAGTCTGGGCAAATGACATATGTGGTGGTGGCCTGGTGGTAGTAGTAGTAGTAGTAGTAGTAGTAGTAGTGTAAGCAGTCATTGTGATACGAGGGATATGGTGATATTCGCGTAATGATTTGGAATATGTATATTATTATTATTGTACGTTCGCTCGGTGGTGATTTTTTGCGGTTGCGTCGCGCAGCCAAATATACCAAAGTTGTTTGGAATAGGAAGAAGTCGTTGTGTGAACAGTGGAAGAGGGTAAAATTGAGTTGCAGTGGAGGGGGGGGATAGCTTGTAAAACACACTGACTTGGCTCAAGGTGGGGTGCTGCTCCTAGTTGAGTAAGATTGTTGTGTTGTTGCGTGGGTAAAAAGTGAGATTCTGTATACCAAACTCCAAATTGTGGTGGTACCTTTGATTTTATATATATATATATATATATATCTGAGATAAATATGGTTTGGGAGTAACTGCTGTTGCTGTTGCTGTTTGATATATGAAGAGAAGAAGAGAAGTGGGATTTAGTGTTGATTATATATATATACATATTGTTTGATTACTGATGTCACTAATTACGTATTCTGCTTAACTTACTCTTTGTTGCACAGTCTGACTAATTGTTCAAAAAGAAAGAGAAAGAGAAAAAAAAAACAAAAGAATTATCGGCGATAAAAAAAAAAATTAATAAAAAAAAAATTATATATATATATATATGGTTACTCTGTTTGTGTAACGGTTAACAATAAAATAGGAGTACACAGAGAGTTCGGTGTTGCTCTATCCGCGATTCTAGAGCCATGCAAAGATATCATCAATTTATTACTATCAAAAATATTTCTTCTACGCAATTCTACCTTACAAAAGTATGGTACTCGCAAATTGCGCAACTCCTATACTATTGCTCGTCAAATCAATCAAATGAAGCACTTCTAAAGATAGCAGCATCAAGTAATAGTGGATCAGAGAAGAGCAAAACAGAACATTGGAGAATTCATGAGAAAGAAAAATCTGAGAGGGAGTAAACGAGTAGTATACAGTACAAGATTCCCGCTTTAACAATCATTATATATATATATATATATACATATGTATGTATGTATGTATGCATCTCCCATAACTGCTATTGAATACGAGAGCACGCAGTCCCCTCTAAGTACCTCTTCTTTCTTTCCTTCTTTCTCTCTCTCCTCCATCGAGCTTTCCGGAATAAGCGTAAAAAATCACTCATACATACAGATATGCACTTTGCGCGAATACATGCAAATCATCTACTTTTACACATACAAAGGAAACCACAGTTTGTAATAAGACATACAAACCCGATGTCGCAGAAAACACAAATGCGCAATAGGGAAGACCAAGAAGACAAAGAAGACAAAGAAGAAGAAGAAGACGAAGAAGTAGAAGAAGAAGAAAATTGTTTTTCTCCGTCGGTTATTCGATTTGATTTGCTTCGGACCGGCTGAGAGCAGAGTAGCCACTTTTTAGCAAAAGTTTTAGTCATCGATTAGTTTGAACTTACTAAAATATGGACCGTTTTTCCGTCAATACTCCAAGCTCATCAGAACAGTCTTAAACTTGGAAAGCTGATGAATGCTCTAGCTCAAGAGTTTACGTACCTCTTTGAAGACTCTGTTCTTTCTTGTCGTCTCCAGAAGTCGATGATAGCGGGATTGAGGTAGGTATGTACAATATATATATTTATGTATATGTATATATACATATTATACCCGCGTTAAATCCATGTCGCAAATTAAAGGGCCTGACGGTATTTAATTATTTTCTTTTTTTATATTGATTTCTTATTTATTTTTTTTTTGTCTTTCTTTTAGCAATTCGCATCCGAAATGGTGTTAACACCGAAACCGAAAGAAAAAAAAAAACTAAAAAAAAAAAAATTAAAAAACAGAAATTCTAATTTCTTTCCTTTTCTTTTCTTTCTTCAGATTGACAGTGTTTTATTCATTAAATCCGAGAGTTTAAATTCAAGAATTAACGCTTTGAGTGCGTACATTCTTTTAGCGTTTGAGGCTCAATAACATAACGTAAGCAATGTACATTTAATCTACAATAAAAGCAACTACAACAATACTCTACTTACCTCTTCAAACAATAAGAATGAGCACACACAGGGATGGTATCAGACCATACTGATAATTTCCAACTTGTAGAACGTGTAGATGCGGCAAGTAATGAGGGGTATTCTCGAAAGCAACACTATATAGAGATCATGCCATTTCCATCTTATCACTTATTGATAGTTCCCGTGTCTTTGAACAGCTGCATTTTCCTGGAAATAAGAAATTATGTCCACCCATCTTGTCTTATAACGGACGAAAAACACACAATGTCAATGAAGTTGTTTGCGTTACAAACTTACATGTACAAACGCTTCATTAAAAGTGTGTGAAGAAGGCAATAATAGTTGCTCTTCACTGCTCTTCCTTTCTCCAATGACTCTATTGCAAATAAATAGATCAGAAAAGTCTCTCTATGTGGCTGTATGCCTCTGTACCTCTGCGTCTCTGCGCCTCTACGTCTCTGTGCCTGTGTGGCTGCTGTAGTGAAGCTGCCTGTGATGCTGCAAGTGAAGAAAACGTTGAACTTGCCTGTGAAACTGCCTGTCAAAATGATTACGAAACAGGTTGGGAAGCTGGTGGT